TTAACTCTAGTAAACAGGATATAGATCTACCTTGTATAAATTAGACACTCAACCTTTCATTGTCTTACTAGGCATTCATTATTTCACTAGGTTGACTCGCACATGGTCTTAGGCCTATTTTTCCTCCACGGATTTGGACTCAAAATTTTACTAAATCCAAAGCCCAAAAAAATCTCTCATTTCTTCAAAACAAAAACAATTTAACAAAAAAAGAAGGGAAGGACCCTTGAGTGAAAATCGAACTAATTTCATGATGGAAAATAATCATATTCGAATTGAACTACCACTTTAATTAATGTAACACAAAAGTTCAGAAAAAAAGCTTTAAAATCAATAAACATAAGATTAAATCAATCTATAATAACTAGAAAGCTAACGAGAATAAGGAAAACCATTGGAATGGTATTTCTAGAATTGAAAGAGCTACATTCTTACCTAACAAAAAAAAAAAAAAAAAATGTAGAGACAACTAAAACTGAAATCCTAACTAGACTATTAAAGGTAAATAAATCAACAGTAAGAACTTCAATTCTAAGTTCTTAGAACTTGAAAGGAAACCCGAAATGGGAGAAGGGGAGAACGGGAAAATGTAGAGGGAGTTGAGAGAGAAATGGAGAAAGGAAAAACCGTAAATGTAGAGACAGAAAAAGAAAATGGACAAAAATCATATAAGTTGGCACGAGACGGTGTCAGATATTGTTCTTTTTGAGTTTTCCCTTTCGGGGTTCCCCTCAAGGTTTTTTAAAACACCTGTTAGGGAGGAGTTTCTACACCCTTATAAAGAATACTTGAGATCCACCCCCCCTTTGGGGCTAGCGTTTTCGATCCACCCCCCTTTGGGGCTAGCGTTTTCGCTAACACTCGTTATTTCTCCAATCGATGTGGGACCTCCCAATCCACCCCCTTCGGGGCTCAGCCTTCTCGCTGACACATCGCATATACCATTGTAACAACCCAAACCCACTGGTATCAAATATTGTTCTTTTTGGGCTTCCTCTCAAGGTTTTTTAAAACGCGTTTGGTAGAGAGAGGTTTTCACACCCTTATAAAGAATGTTTAGTTCTCCTCCCCAACCGATGTGGGATCTCACAATTCACTCCCCCGACTTGAGATCCACCCCCCCTTTGGGGCTAGCGTTTTCGATCCACCCCCCCCTTTGGGGCTAGCGTTTTCGCTAACACTCGTTATTTTTCCAATCGATGTGGGACCTCCCAATCCACCCCCTTCGGGGCTCAGCCTTCTCGCTGACACATCGCATATACCATTGTAACAACCCAAACCCACTGGTATCAAATATTGTTCTTTTTGGGCTTCCTCTCAAGGTTTTTTAAAACGCGTTTGGTAGAGAGAGGTTTTCACACCCTTATAAAGAATGTTTAGTTCTCCTCCCCAACCGATGTGGGATCTCACAATTCACTCCCCTTCGGGGCCTAGCATCCTCGTTGGCACTCGTTCCCTTCTCCAATCGATGTGGGACCCCCCAATCCACCCACCCTTATAAAGAATGTTTTGTTCCCCAACCCAACCGATATGGGATCTCACAATTTCACCCCCATTCGGAGCCCAGCATCCTTGTTGTCACTCGCTCCCTTCTCCAATAGATGTGGAACCCCCCAATTCACCCCTGCTGGCACACTGTCTTGTGCCCACCCCCTTCAAGGCTCACATTCCTTGCTAGCACATTGCCCTTTGAGACTCAGCCTTCTCATTGGCACCTGGTGTTTGGCTCTAATACCATTTGTAATAGCCCAAGCTCACCACTATTAGATCTTGTCCTCTTTGGGCTTTTCATTTCGGCTTCCTCTCAAGGTTTTTTTTTAAATGCGTCTGCTAGACAGAGGTTTCCACACCCTTATAAACAATGTTTTGTTCTCCTCCCCAACCGATGTGGGATCTTACAATCCACCCCCCTTTCGGGCCCAGCATCCTTGCTGGCACACCGTCTCGTGCCCACGACCTTCGAGGCTCAACCTTCTTGTAGTGTGCCATGGATTCATATAAGTTGACTTGGATATAAAGGACAAAAATCATACTTTCATTAAGTATAAATGGGTGACACCAACCTAAGCTAATTAGGTCTTACTATAGGATAGGCTAAAAATTATATGAGTATTAATGATGTTTGAACTGTACTGTATGATGCAGTAAACTAGTATATGATGATATATGAGTTATTATGATGTTTGAGTTGTGTTGTATGATGATGTGCATAATATATGTATATTTTCATATACTTGATATGTTTGATGCACTTTGTGGCGATAAGATAAGTATCATGATCGCATGATGTTTGTCTTAATATGACGATGTTTTCCATATTGAGCATTGTATATGATGATAAGTGTCATATTGCATTAGGTCGATAGACCGACATAAGACACAACCCTAAGAGCATGAAAACGATATTAATATAAATATTCACGAGAATGTGTTACCTAGAGTAACAAAGAAATAGACTAGAGGGTTGTGTCAGAAGAGACATTATGACGAATTTAGAGGGACTTCTCCTAAATCACAACAATACCTAGGCCTTTTGCCACATCATTTTTCAAGTAAGGGCATCGCAAGCAGAGATTGTGGCACGTGCATAGAGTGACTCGTATATAAATTCCTAACCTTAAATTAGAATAGGTTGTTTTGGATTTTGTTGTGTTAAATTATTTTGTATTTGTTTTGGTTTTCTCTACCTTTCCTAAAACAAGTACGACCATAATTGTGTTTTCAAGAAGTTGTTTTGAGGGTTTTGAGAACTCTATGTAATAAATGATGTTGATTTAAGTTAATAGTGACTCTTGTATGGAAATTTAGGGTGTTACACTCCGCAAATAACCCATACAAAATTCCTAATTAAATGGAGGGGCGAGAATGACCATATTACTCGTTCGGAGTTTACTTTGCCCACTATTGCTAAATTTGAACGACTTGTGTTTTTGATTGTTTGTCTTTTTTTTTTTTTTTTTTTTTTTGTTTTCTTTGGCTAATAGGTCAAATTGATTTTCTATCGGTTGCTCGTGTTAAATGTTTAGTGCCTCATACAAGAGAGAGCGTTGATATTGTATTTAAGACTATTAGGAATCACTCATACAAGAGAGAGCGTTGATATTGTATTTAAGACTATTAGGAATCACGACTCTCCACAATAGTATGATATTGTCCACTTTGAGCGTAAGCTCTCATGGCTTTGCTTTGAGATTCTCCAAAAGGCCTCATACCGATGGAGATAGTATTCCTCACTTATAAACTCATAATCTTCCACTAAATTAACCAATGTGGGACTCACTCCCAATAATCTTCAACAATCCTCTCCTCGAACAAAGTATACTATAAACCTCCCTTGAGGCTTATGGAGCTCTCGAATAGCCTCCCCTTAATCGAGGCTCGACTCCTTTCTCTAGAGCCCTCAAACAAAGTACACCCTTTCTTCGACACTTTAGTCACTTTTGACTACACCTTCGAGGCTCACATTTCTTTGTTTGATACTTGAGGATTCTATTGACATGGTTAAGTTTAGGGCATGGCTCTGATTCTGTCAATTGAGTGGAAAACGTCGACAGAAGGAAATCTTCTTCAAAAAAAAAAAAAAACAACAGACAACAAAGCTACAATCTCTCTGATCAAAAATCCAGTTTTGCAGACCGGAGCAAGCACATAGAAATCAGATTCCACTACATCCGAGAAGGTAAAGATCGATGGCTCATCAAGATTGATTTCATTTGAACAGAGGAACAACTTTGAGACATTTTCACCAAGTCCCTGACGCGGGTAAAATTTGAAGAACTTCGCTCAAACATCGGAGTTCAAATAATAAGATAGATATACCACCGTTGTTAGGAGAGATGGTTAGATAAAAGTTATAGTCTCCTTCTAGTTAATTGTTCTTTTGAAAAATGTGAATTAATGGATGAAAAGCGTAATTTCTGATGGGCCAACTTTAGGCGCAACGTTGTGCCAGCTCCTTCCCATTTTTAGGATTAAATGTGATATTTAAAGTATTGAACTCGATCAGAAATAATCATCAGGTGTTAGCAAAATATTCTCTCTCCTTTATTTTCATTATTTTCAGTTATTTTTTTTCTTCTAACAAAGTTTTCTTCCGCCGATTTTTCCGATGTTTTCCTCTGTCAGTCAACGAAGACTGTGTCCATGTTGAACGTTGAACTGTTCCACCGCAAGCTTCGCGACCTCTTGCACGCAGTGGCCACTAACATCGGGGATTTTAATCCACTTCTCCACAGCGGGTACTTGGCCGCAAACCTTGACTGCAAAACTCATGTCGTAGTGTGATATGTAGTATAAGGAAACTTTGTATTTCTTTGCTGTGGTTTTGTTTGGTTAGAAGCTGTGGGTATTTATAGAACTCATTTAATATGGAATCAAAGTTTAAAAGGATAAGATTGATGCTTTTAAGAACATCCACACTTATCCCATTAATATTCTTTTTATTTACATTAATACTCTTCTTTTGGAATATGGTTCTTTGACTCAACATTTTTATACTTAAAGATTGATGTTCTTCATTGTTTATATCACTTAAAAGGTTCACACCCAATCCTTGTAAAATTAAATCCATAATTCCTTTGATATACTTCCCTTTAAGGAGTTTATATTCTTTTAATTGATATACTTCACTTTTAGTTTGATTGGAATATGATTCCTCTTTGCCCTTTTAAAAAATGTAATGTCTCTTAAATCCTTTGTGCTTTTTAGGGCTATTAATTGTTTTCGCATCCCGAGCCCTAGTCCCCCCTTTTGTACGAACTTTGATTCAGTTCTATAATACTTTTGTCTATCTTTTTTTCTTCACGGTGTTATAAAAACCCTACCCAATCAATTGTGTTCAAACAAGAGAAATCATTGAAACTTCTTTTTCACAATACCAACACAATGTTCTTGATCAGAGTTCAAGATACTAAGCCCATCACCGAAGCAACCTTCTTATTCAAGCAATTCATTAACGAAAAAGCCGACTTATATTTCAACCGAAACAGCTTCACCATAATTGCTTCAAACCCTTCCCTTCGCTTCATAGCAAGGTTTTACATTTCCAAAAAATATTGCAAAGACTTTTGCATCAATCAAACTCACATTGCCAAGATTTCCCTTCCATCCTTTAGTGATGCCATCATGACTGCCGCTGCTACCCGCTTTGATACAATGAGTATCACTCTTCCAAGCCCTTATAAAATTACCCTTACATTCGAGACATCAAGTGAGTATCTATTAATACCCCACAACAACATTGCCAAGAACTATGATTCTTGTTTTCTTTATCTTTCAAGAACTCACTTTTTTTTAATAGCTCCTCCAGGGCGTGTGCCTCGGTCGAATTCACGTGCGCTGCCACTTTCACCTACACTAGCGATGGATTTTGGAAAGCCTTTACTCGCAAAACATTTCACCATTAAACCCGAATTTTTTAGGCACATTCTTACCGAACTACCTAATTCGCAAGATATAGGTAATATGACTCTTCTTCACCGTCCTTAAAAGAAACTTATCCCAGTGTTTTGGGTTGGAGTTTTAGGTCAAACTCAATTGTTAAGATTGTAATTTTTTTATCAAAACGGTAAAATATTTAGGTCGAGTGGATTCAGATAATGAAGAATGACCTAATATCCTTAACTTATTGGGCATGTTTTCATTAACTCGTCTTTCTCTATCACAGTTTGTGTTACTCCAACGACATCGGAAGTCAAATTCTCACATGAATCCAATGAGGTTATTCTTACTCCAGAGGTATTATTTTCAATTGCTTATATTATTTGGTCTCTGTTTTTAACTTCTTTTTGGTCTTTTATGTTTAACACTAATATTTTTCTTTCTTGAAATTTCTTTTTTCTATTCAAGTTTAAATTTGATTTCTAATTAATTTCTAAAGAGGTTTTAAATCGTTTCGTAAAAGTTGATAATTAACCTAATAGAATGATTACCTTCATAGTTAATTAATGACTACTAACTAAACTCTCATAATATGTATTTTTCAAACAAGTTTAACCAAATAGAAACCAATTTTGAATTTCAACAACTTAGAAGTCTCTCAAGAGCGAAATGAAACTAAATTCAAATGGTTTGATTTCAAAAATTTTAGAAGAACATTTTATTAATGTATAAAGGTTTTGGATGATGTTATGCAGGCTGGACAATGTACAACCGTGGGTTATGAAGGATGTGTTGATACTCAGTTCAAAATTGTTCTTCATCCGAGGACGTTTTTCTTTGATTTGTCATCTAAAACGTGCACAAGTATATGGTTTTGTAGGACATCAAATTCTGGTAGCGTAATGGCTGTCCAATCTAGTAGATCGCATGCTATATATTACATCCATTTTCCTCCGACATGACATGTTGACAAATTATTCAATAAAATCGCTGTCTTTTTTGTAACGGTTGGATGTTGACATGAGAATATGTCCTGTCCGTTCACTGTAATATGTTGTCTTCCTCAAACTCGCACCCTTCAACAAGGTTCCTTGATTTCAATTGTCATATGAACAGACATCTAAATATAACTCCACTACAACTCACTTAATACTGATGATTTGAGAAAAGAGGAGACCATGTGAACTCGGGTATTTATAATAGAAGTTAGACAAGGTGAATGATACCTTTGTGATCCTCCATTTCATCTTTTACACTTTTAAATCATTAGATTTAAAATATATAGATATTATCTCCCAATTTGTTCCACAAATTAAATCTCCTAATCTTTTGAATTATATTTGACTACGCTCATTTTTTAATCTCAACGAATGAAACTTACCTCTGAATTATATGGGTTCAACACGTGGCACACGAGGAATGGCGAGCGAGAAACTAGATTGGGTGCAGGTCCTTTGGTTGAATTTCGAGTTGCGTGTGGATTGAGTTACAAGTCACTCAGTTATACCTATCCTTTCTCTAGGAGCCTAATAGATCACCACGGCAAACGAAGTACCTTAAGATTGTTCTTAGGCTGCTAGTTGTGTGAACAGTGTCTATAGTTTCGTGTGTGACCAGGGGTTCCTAATTGGTTCTCACTCCTTCTAGTCGTTCCACATGGGAAATGTGAGCCCACGTCGCGCCTCCAACGAGGGAGCCTATCATGGACCTAGGAGGTACTCAACACAGCCCTAAGTAAGATAACATATAGTCTCAGATAGCCTACAAGTAAGTAGGTGGCTTACTGAGTATAACTTTTATACTCATCCTTGTTATATTGTCGTTTTTTAAGTGTGTGAGGCGTCAAGTCAAGAGAGGGCGTGTTTGAGAGTTGTGGATTGTCACAGAGGAAAGCATGTCACAGGACGTCAGTCCCGTCCAATTTTTTGTACACATTGTCTTTCATGTTTTTCGTTGTCAAAACTGGTTACAAATTGATTCTCTATTTTGCAACCTTCTTCTTATGAAATAAAAGATTTTTGAAATGATGTCTCCATTTGAGTTTTTATGCATATACACTACACATCATTGTCGCTTTGAGTCACGACTCGTAATAAATATTGGGTCATGACAGTTGTTTATGGTGTTTGAACCAAAACTTAGACCAAAAATGTCCATGTTTGAGGTTGGTATGTTCCCAATTTTGTCCTCTAAAGACTTCTTCACGAATTGTGGGTCGTAATCAATAAATTCATGTTTCAATCGATCTCTCGAGAGTTAGAAACCAAAACTTAATAATCTCGATAGTTGTTCCTAATGGTATGACCAAAACTCAACCAAAAACATCACCATTCAAGTCTTGGAAGGTCAAAAATCCAATTTCATCCCCTAGAGAGTTCTTCACAAAGTTTGGACAAAACTTAGATCATTTTTTTTTTCGTTTAAGCTTTGGCCCGCTCAAAACCAAAAGTTGAACTCTTACATTGTTCTTTGGGTTGTTTGGTGTAAGACTCAACACAACTATTCGAACTTTGAATAGATAGAAACCCTAATTTTGTTCTACAAAAAGTTTTGTTTTTTTTTTTTTTGCAAAGTTTGGACAAAAAGATTGTTTCGCTCGAGTTAAAACTTTAAAAAAAATTTCCTCTAGATGGTTTTTATCATATTTGGACAAAACCTCAACCAAACTTGTCTCTATTCTAGATTTGGATTGAGAAACCTCCCAAACTTTGCAAAAAAAAAAAAAACAAAACTTTTCCTTATACTTGGTCGTTTTGATCTAGTCTCTACTCCTATCTGAGCATCTAGGATACCATGAAGTTCCGAGCGATTCTCTAGCTGCTCACGAACCCATAAAGTCACCTATGTCTTGGGGATGTAATTCCCTTGCACTGGCCAACTACTAGGTCAACTTGTTTCATCCCACACCCTCTGTCATGAATGGGTTTAGAGCATAATGACTTTGTTCTAGAGACCCCTAGCCATGGGGTATGCACTATCCCAACCAATCTATGCCCAACTCGATAATATTGTTTAACAATCCAAGACATCACTAACACATATTGTCTTCTTTGGGTTTCCCTTCTAGATTTCCCCTCTAACGAGAGAGAGTTTTCCACACCATTATCAAGAATGTTTCATTTTTCTCTCCAACGAATGTGGGATCTCACAGTCCACCCCCCTAAGGCTCCAACGTCCTCACTGCACATCGTCTGAGGCGATCGCTAACAGATATTGTCTTCTTTAGGCTTTCCCGTCAAGACTTCCTCTCAATACATTTTAAAAAGTGTATACTAAGGAGACGTTTTCACACTATTATAAGAAATGTTAAGTTCCCCTCTCTAATTAATGTGGGATCTTACATACTGCTATAGGAGTGAAAGGATAGTAGAGAGTCTGATGACACTGTTCATACTGCTTATTGCCTAGAGAGCTACCTCTGTTGTTCTTGGATGTTGTGGAGGTCTACTAGATTTCTAGAGTTATCTAAACGGTTTAAATCTCATCTCTCGTTTCCAGTACCTCTAAAACTAACTCCTCAGGGTAATCCATTCCCTAGGTGCACATGGGTCTAAATCTCTGATCGTCACTCACAATCTTAGGGTGCTCGAAGATTTACTAGAAACGTATTGTCCTTGGTCAACTTGAAACCGCTTTAGCTCTAGCGCTTTAATCTTAACTTGGTTCTCTTGTACATGCTTCGTTAGTTAGATTATCTTATCAATCACCTAGAACATGGTATTCATGAACTAAACATTTGTGTAAGCTTAGTAGGAAGATAATCATATCAATAACCTAATGAACACCGAAAACGTGTATTGAACATTCATGCAAAATCAACAGCAAGATAACATCCTTCAATCACCCATAGGATAAATCACAAAAGTGCATCCTCCTATCTAACACAATGAAAAACATTAATAACAACATTTATCTCAAAATCTCGTTATAGAGGTATTTTGGTAATTTCTTACATCTTACATATCTTACTCGTCTTGATTACCCAAAGCATTCTCATCCAAAATTACCCTCTAGAGTTATAAATAGGCATATTCTAACCAACTAAAGTAAGGAATGTTTGCATGCTAGTATGTGCAGACACCTTCAAGGAGGGTGTAGATGCGCTCTCGACGACATGTGCACATTGATTGGTGCTTTCATTTGAGTCAGCTTGGATCGGTGCAAGCAAATCGAGTTAGAGCTAGCCGCGATCTCAAGTCGCCCTCTGATGGCGCAATACGTGGAGCACTTCCTAGTCGAACACGCTCCTTCCCCAATTGTCAACACGTGTTCTCCTTAAATGCTTGAGGTACAGCTCCGTCCTACTTGACATGTGGCCCTATTTACGCTTGACACATGTCCTTTCTTCTTCCGCATCGGCAACGAGTTTCTACTTGAATTCTAGATTTCCAAATTAGTATTTAATCAACTTGGTTCATTTACCAAAGTGGTAGAGAAGGCATTTAAAGTTAGTCCATAACTAAAACTCATCGTTCTTAATGCATGTTAGAAGCCAAGTTTTGATCTAATTAAACTCTGGTTGCTTGACAAGATTTGTGAGTTACTCCCAAGAACAGCATACTCAAAACGTAATTTCAAAAAATATCTCTCGAATCTTGAGAAAATTTAAAATTAAAAATTTAAATCTCTTACCTCTCGATCTTATTTAATTTTTAATGGTTTTTGGATGATTTAAAGGATCGATTGAATGTTCACCACCTACTAATTTAATTGAGTAGCACTATTAGAACCAGATTTGCCTGAAAATGTGAGTTTGAGGCTTAAAGGTCACTAGCAGTATGAATAGTATTACTAAAGCTTGACTATCTCCCATTCTCTCCAATACCTCAGTAGCATTAGTCGGTGACCTAGATCAAATCTAGTAGTATTCCTACAAAACAGTAGATATCTAGAAACCCATATCATCGAGCTTGACTAATGTCAAATAGGATGACATGTCTTAATTACTTGTAGAGTATTGTGTGTAGAAACGGTTCGAAAACTAAGACCACAATCTCATAAACCCTTCCTAAGAGGAGATGATGGACTATCTAGGTAGTTTAGCTCATAATGAGTAGCACTATCGTAGGTAGAAATGGTCAGAGGCTCCCTAAACAATCTCACTATACTGTAAACTCGTCTTGAGAGGGTACCAGAGATCACACATATAAATTGAGTAGCAAACCAGCATGTAGGATCACTTCTCCCGACTTTTAACTCCGACTTTTAACTCTATGGTAGTTCCCGTGGAAGAATTGCCAAGTTAACCATACACAACAATGTTTAGAGAGAGACCTTAAGTTAGTTATTATGATATTTAACAAGGTCATGTCTTAACTTAGATTGTTGGTCATTCGCGACCAAGAAAAGTAAGCTTTCTAAGTTTAACCAAAAAATAAAAAAATAAAAAAAAATAGTAGTTCACCCAAAACTAAGTTGTGCCATTAAGTAGATCGGTAGCCGCAGAAAATGTAAACAACCTCCAAACTCCGAGAGGTTTGTAATAGACAAGAGAACCGTTCAAAATTTTAAGGCGTTTTTCTCAAAAGCTCAAGTAGCTATAAAACTTAGGCTCTGTAGTAACTTTTACATTTCTTTTTTAGGTAATAACGGACTCCTGGTCGAGGTGGGGAAAGCATTCAAGAGCTATGTAGTCATAAAGGGGATCATCCCAGAATATCAACCCTATGTGGTTTCGGGGGCTATCTGGGGCTATTACTTGTTTTCACATCCCGAACCCTATAATCCCCCATTTTATATAAACTTTGATTCAGTACTCTTATTATTGTTCGATTTTAAATTTCACAAAACTTTACTATAGTTCTGTTTATCTTTTTTCAACACCGTCTCTACTTCAAAACCTAAAAAATTGAATTGTGACACCTCTCCCATAAACCCAAAACCCCTAAAGTATTCAAAACATACAACTAAAGAAATCTACCCTTCAAAACTTCAACAATAATTCACAAAAATCCACAAACCAATCTTATAAATACCGTACCCTATCCAATCAATTGTGTTCATACTTGAAAAATCATTGAAACTTCATTTTCACATTACGAACACAATGTTGTTGATCAGAGTTCAAGACGCTAATCCCATCACGGATGCAAACTTCCTATTCGCGGAGTTCATCAACCATGAAGCCGACTTAGAGTTCAAACCAAATAGCTTAACCATAATTGCCACAAACCCTACCCTTCGCTTCATAGCAACGCTTTACATTTCCAAATCCTTCTGCCAAGACTTCACCATCAATCAAACTCACATTGCTAGAGTTTCCCTAACATCCTTCATTGATGCCATCATGACTGCCGCTGCTACCCGCTTTGATACATTGGCTATCACTCTTCCAAGCGCTTATATCATGATCCTTACATTCGAGACATCAAGTGAGTATCTATTGATACCCCACAACAACATTGCCAAGAACTATGATTCTTGCTTTCTTTACCTTTCAAGAACTCACTTTTTTTAATAGCTCCTTCAGGGCGTGTGCCTCAGTCACACCCACGTGCGCTTCCAATGTCACCTTCGCTAATGGTGGATTTTCCTAAGCCTATACTCGCAAAACATTTCACCATTAAAGCCGAATGTTTTAGACGCGTTCTTGCAGAATTACCTCTCTTGCAGGATTTAGGTAATATAATCCGTTTTCTCGATAGAGTTTTAGGTCAAACTCAATTGTTAAAATTGTAAATTTTGTATCTAAACCGTATAATATTTAGGTCGAGTGGATTCAGGCAGTGAAGAACAACTTAATTAACTTGTCTTTCTCTATGATAGTTAGTGTTACTCCCACGGGATCAGAAGTCAAATTCTCAAATGAATTCAAAGAGATTATTCTTTCTCAAGAGGTATTATTCTCAATTGCTTTATTCGGTCTCAAGAGGTATTAGTTTCGTTCTTGAGATTTATTTATTTTTTTTTTTTTTTCTATTTAGTTCTTGGGGTTTCAAAAATTATAGATCGGGTCTCTAAAGTTTGAATTTGATTTCTAATTAATTCCTAAAGTGGTTTTAAATCGTCTCGTAAAAGTTGATAATTGTGATATCCCACATTGGTTGGAGAGAGAACGAAACACCCTTCACATATGTAGAAACCTTCCTCTCGTAAACGTGTTTTAAAGCCTTGAGAGGAAGCTCGAGAGGGAAAGCCCAAAATGGACAATTTCTGTTAGTGGGTGGATCTGGGCAGTTGCCATAATTAATCTAATAGAATGATATGTATTTTTTAAACGAGTTAAACCAAATAGAAACCAATTTTGAATTTCAAGAACTAAGAAATCTTCAAGAACGAAATGAATCGAATCTTGTTTGATTTTAAAATTTTATAGAACATTTTATTAATGTATAAAGGTGTTGGATGATGTTACGCAGGCTGGAGAATGTACAATCATGGGTTATGAAGGATGTGTTGATACTCAGTTCAAAGTTGTTCTTAATCCGAGGATGTTTTTCCTTGGTTTGTCATCTAAAACGAGCACAAGTATATGGTTTTATAGGACAATGAGTGCTGGTAGCATAATGGCTGTCCCAACATGTAGATCGTATGCTATGTATTACATCCATTTTCCTCCAATATGACATGTTGATGAATTATTAGATAAGATCATTATAATATGGCTTTCTTTTAGTAATTGTCGGATGTAGACTCGAATATATGTTCGTTCAACAAGATCATTGTGATATGGTTGTCTTCTCCAAACTCGTACCCTGATTTCAATTATCGTAGGAACAGACACCTAAATATGACTCTACTACGACCCACTTGAGACTCATAGTTTGAGGAGAGAGGAGACAATGTGAATTTGGGTATTTATAATAGAGGTTAGACAACGTGAACAACACATTTGTAATCCTCCATTTTAAAAGTTTTAAGACCATTAGATTCAAAATATAAGATGCTCGAAAATTAAATCTTTTAGGTTAAATCTCTTAAATTCGCTCCACAAATTAAATCTCCGAATCTTCTGAATTATATTTGATGTAACGCTTACAATTGAATTAAATGGGTGCAACACGTGGCACATGAGGAATGGTGAGCGACAAACTCGATTGGGTGTAGGTCCTTCGATTGAATTCTGAGTTGTGTGTGGATTAATGGGGTGAAGCCTCAGGTCGAATCGGGTCAGGTCAAGTGTGACACGTCTCAACTGATGGCTCGAAGTGTTGCTCCAATTGCAAGCTGACACGTGTCGTTGGCCTTTACATATGCACTTCCCACTTCGTTGTGCGACATGTGTCCCACTGGTTACTCCAACTTGCTTTCCAAAATTGTTATTAGCCTGTTTTTCTACATGATTCCTCAACTTTTTTGACCTCTAATCCAACTATTCAAATATAACTTTTAAATAATTTTAGGTCAATCATAGTTCTTAACAATCACGTTCAAACTTAAAAATATTTATCCTTACCGAAGTTGACGTTTTCGTGATTTTTGGTCAAATCCAAAAATGAAATCAACGGTTCCTTTCTAAGATTTTGAACGTAAACTAGATCTAAGAAATCAATAAGGAGTGTTTGCCGTGAGGATCTTCGGGCTAATCTTGAACTTGAACAATGGTAAGGGCGTGTAACGTATTAAAAAAAATGGCCGAGGGGAAAAATGGACATTTTACCCCTCAGCCCATTATAGGGGTCTTGAAGATCCTCCGCAGAATTCCTGCAAAAGAAAGAAGTGTGAGAGAGAAGGATTGAGAGAAAGTTCGAGAGAGAAAATTGAATAGCCAGAGTTTTTCATCGGAGAGTCGCCGACGGAATCCATCTTCTACTAAAACCTACATTCTGGAGTCCTTCTTGGAGTGAAGTAAGAACTCGTGTTGAGATTTCCTCCTCTTTCGTCAAGATCAGAAAGAAAACCCGCGAGGTAAGATTTCGAACTATACCTTCCAGATCTGAGATCTTTGTTTAGGAGTAGAGTGTTTAAGCCTACTACCTTCATCCAGGGAAGATCCGCCGCTGATTTTGGCGAGGAAATCGGACGAAACGTCGGGATCTAAGAACCTTTCCAAGAACGGTAAGGATGTTACCGGACCTCTTTCCAACGCTCATAACTCACCGTATGACTAAGCAAAAATCAAGAAAAAAAAAATATTGGCACATAGGTTGATAGATGATCCAAAACTTTGTTGAAGAAACAATTTCTGTTTGGATTAAGAATCGAAAGATGGAAAATGGAGAGAACCTCGGTAAACTAATCGAAAAACTTTGATTCTCAGCTAGGAGGAGAGAGAAGCCGCCGGCGTGCCACGTGTCAAACAACCAAAGGACCGCGAGCACCAATCACCTCCGGACACGCGTCGAGCACCGCTTGGGAAAACGCGGCTCCAGCCTCCTAGCGACACACATCCTCGACAACACAACCCGCGCCCGTCATCTATGGTGGAAGGGTGCTAAAAGAATGATTTCTCCGCTGGGAGAGCCTATTACTTGGTGTTAGTTCAAAGAGGCTTACCTCCGCAAATACTATCCAGTCGCTGCTAGAATGAAGCTGCAGGCAACATTTCATGATCTCAAACAGGGTGACCTATCTGTGGAAAATTATGATCATGAATTCAATAGATTGGCTAGATTCTCCCCTATATATGTTAGTATTGAAGAGCTTAAGGCTGAACGTTTTATTGTCGGCCTAAAGGAGAGCATTAGAGGTTATGTGGCATCACAGTCATCCACAGACTCTACAGCAACTCTTAAGATGGCGACCCTCATTGATGCGCCTCGTACTGACAAATTACAGGCAGGGTTGGCCCAAAAATCCCAGATCGTAGTTAGGGAAAACAGATAAATCGGAACTATCCCAGGACTGGCAGATCACCCCGTGGTGGTGCTGCCAATCGCAGAAGAGCATCAGCACAGAACAGGAATCAATGTCCTAAGTGTTAGCGTCCTCACTTGGGAGAATGTCGCCTGGGGACTAATGTATGCTATAATTGTGGCTAGATGGGACACTTTGCAGCAAACTGCCCTCAAAAGAGAGATGATAACACTAACCGACCTGCAATAAAGAATCAAAGGAGCCGAGGTGCCCAACAGCAGCAGGGGCGAGCTGTAGCCCATGCAACCATAGGCAGGCAGGCCGACGCACCTGACGCAGTCGTTACAGGTACACTACCCGTCTTTGGTCATTTAGCTTTTGTACTATTTGATTCGGGTTCTATACACTCGTTTGTGTCTAAGGAATTCGTTGATTTAGTGCATCTAGAAAAAAAAAAAAAAAAACCCCATAGCGACCATTCTATCAGTGTCCACCCCTGCTCACGAGTTATTAATGGCTACTCATAGAGTTAAAGGGGGTAGTGTGATAGTATCGGGACGAATCATAGAAGCAGCTTTAATAATATTAAGCATGCAAGACTTCGATGTCATTTTGGGTATGGATTGGCTAGGCGAGAATCGCGCTCTAATTGATTGTGAAACTCGAATAGTTACCTTCAGACTCCCGTCAGGGGATAGTTGTTCTTATAAGGGAGCCACTTTCAAAAGAACCCCAAGGGTCGTATCTGCATTAAAGGCTGAAAAGATGATCCGCGGTGGTGCAAGCGCATTTTTAACCAGTCTCGTCAGTACACATTGTTAGGGAATTCATTAATGTCTTTCTTGAGGATTTGCCAAGTTTGCCCCTTGTTAGGGAAGTTGACTTCAGGATCGACTTAGAACCAGGAATTGCGCCGATCTCCAAGGCACCCTACAGAATGGCACCTGCAGAACTCAGGGAATTGAAGGAACAGTTACAGGAGCTTTTGGATAAGGGTTTCATACGACCCAGTGTTTCGCCCTGGGGAGCTCCTGTTCTGTTTGTCAAGAAGAAGGATGGATCCCTACGCCTGTGTATAGACTATAGAGAACTGAATAAGGTCACCATAAAAAATAAGTACCACCTCCCGAGGATCGATGACTTGTTTGATCAATTGCAGGGAGCAACGGTATTCTCCAAAATTGACATGAGGTTAGGATATCATCAATTGAAAATAAGAGAAGATATACCCAAAACAGCCTTTAGAAGTCGCTATGGACATTATGAATTTCTTGTCATGTCCTTTGGACTTACCAATGCACTAGTCGTCTTCATGGAACTAATGAACAGGGTGTTTAAGGAATTCCTAGACACTTTTGTTATAGTGTTTATTGATGACATTCTGGTGTACTCTAAGTTAGAAGTAGAGCACGAAGGACATTTGAGAAAAGTACTGACCGTACTGAGAACACGACTGTACGCCAAGTTTTTCAAGTGCGAGTTTTGGCTGTCTGAGATAGCAGTTTTGGGTCATGTGGTGTCAAGTAGAGGTATCACAGTGGACCAGCTAAGATAGAGGCAATGAAGAAGTGGCCAAGACCGACCACAGTCACTGAAGTAAGGAGTTTTCTAGGACTAGCTGGTTATTATAGAAGGTTCGTTCAGGATTTCTCCAAGATATCTTCGGCGCTAACTCAGTTAAGTAAGAAAGGCAAGCCTTTTGTGTGGTCATCAGCTTGCGAACAGAGCTTCCAAGAACTCAAGGAGAGTTTGGTGACAGCACCAGTCCTCACAGTTCCAGATGGATCAGGGAATCTTGTGGTGTACAGCGACGCATCGGGAAAAGGTCTAGGATGCGTGCTCATGCAGAAGGGTAAAGTGATAGCTTACGCTTCCAAACAACTGAAAGAATATGAACGAAATTATCCCACTCATGACCTCGAGTTAGCAGCAGTGGTGTTTGCACTGAAAATGTGGCGACATTATCTGTATGGAGAGAAAATCCAAGTATTCACTGATCACAAGAGTCTCAAGTACCTATTTACGCAAAAAGAGCTTTACATGAGACAGAGGAGGTGGTTGGAATTAGTAAAGGATTATGACCTAGAGATCATGTATCATCCAGGCAAGGCCAATGTCGTGGCGGACGCATTGAGCAGAAAGGCAGTTCATACTTCCGCGATGATCACTAAGCAGGAGAGAATACAGGATGAGATGAAGAGAGCTGGAATCGATGTTGTAATCAAATGTGGTATTGCTCAGATAACACAAATGACCATGCAACCCTCCTTACGAAAATGAATCATTGAAGCTCAAAGGTCTGATGAACACCTTGGGAAACTATGGAATCAGACTGAAAGACCAGTGGAGTACTCAATCTCTATATATGGGGGTCTGCTGTGGAAAAATCGCCTATGTGTTCCTGTGACAAAAAAATTCTTAAGGATATTATGACAAAAGCTCATGATACTTCTTACACGTTCCACCCTAGAAGTACCAAGATGTATCAGGATCTTAAGGGTTGTTATTGGTGGCCAGGTATGAAAAAGAAGAAAGCAGATTTTGTAAGCCGATGTTTGACCTGTCAGTAGGTGAAGGCCCCGAGACAGCGCCCAGTAGGACTACTACAACCCTTAAAGGTCCCTCAGTGGAAATGGGAAGCAGTATGCATGGATTTTATCTCGGGCTTTCCCAAGACCAAGCAGAGCTTCAACGTAATCTGGGTAGTTGTTGATAGACTTACCAAAATGACCCACTTCATCCCAGGCAAAACCACTTATCGTGTGGATCGGTGGGCTCAACTGTATATCAGAGAGATAGTACGCCTGCATGGTGTACCGGTGTCTATAGTATCTGATCGGGACAATAAGTTCACCTCCCAATTTTGGAAAAGCCTCCAAAAAGCTTTGGGGACTCAGTTAAGGTTTAGTAAAGCATTCTATCCTCAGACGGACGGACAAACCGAAAGACTGAACCAAACCTTAGAAGATATGTTGCGAGCCTGTGTCATGGATTTCACTAGGTGTTGGGATGAACATCTACCACTGATGGAGTTTGCCTACAATAATAGTTACCAGGCGACCATCCAGATGGCCCCTTTTGAGGCACTGTATGGGGGTAGGTGTCGACACCGGTGTTTTGGAAAGAAGTAGGCACGCAGCAATTACTGGGACCAGAGTTGGTTCAGGTCACCAACGCAGTAGTGCAGAAAATTAATCAAAGAATCCTCACTGCACAGAGCCGACAGAAGAGCTACGCATATTTGCGTAGAAGGGACCTCAAGTTCGAAGTGGATGACCATGTGTTCTTAAAAGTAGCCCCTATGAGGGGGGTGATGAGGTGTGGAAAGAAGGGGAAGTTAAGCCCAAGGTTTATAGGCCCTTTCGAGATTTTAGAGAGAGTTGGGGTTGTGGCCTATAAGATTGCTCTACCTCCAAACCTTGCTGCCGTTCACAATGTGTTCCACGTGTCTATGCTGCGAAAGTACACCTCAGACCCTACACATGTGATTGAACACGAAACCCTTCCTCTTCGGGAAGATCTGTCCTACGAGGAAAGACCCAGCAAAATTCTGGCTCGAGACACTAGGCGACTGTGCAACAAAGTTATTCCCTTGGTGAAAGTCGCATGGGGTGACCATCGACACGAGGAGGCAACCGGGAATGAGAAGAAGACGTAAGGAGAACCTATCCCAAACTCTTCCAAGAGATACCAACTTTCGGGAACGAAAGTTCATGAGGGGAGAGTTTGTAACGTATTAAAAAAAATGGTCGAGGGGAAAAATGGACATTTTACCCCTCAGCCCATTATAGGGGTCTTGAAGGTCCTCCACATAATTCCTGCAAAAGAAAGAAGTGTGAGAGGGAAGGATTGAGAGAAAGTTTGAGAGAGAAAACTGAATAACCGGATTTTTTCATCGGAGAGTCGCTGACGGAATCCATCTTCTACTAAAACCTACATTCTGGAGTCCTTGGAGTGAAGTAAGAACTCGTGTTGAGATTTCCTCCTCTTTCGTCAAGATCAGAAACAAAACCCGCGAGGTAAGATTTCGAACTATACCTTCCAGATCTGAGATCTTTGTTTAGGAGTAGAGTGTTTAAGTCTACTACTTTCATCCAGGGAAGATCCGTCGCTGATTTTGGCAAGGAAATCAGACGAAACGTTGGGATCTGAGAACCTTTCCAAGAACGGTAAGGATGTTACCGGACCTCTTTCCAACGCTCATAACTCACCGTATGACTAAGCAAAAATCAAGAAAAAAATATTGGCACGTAGGTTGATAGATGATCTAAAACTTTGTTGAAGAAACCATTTCTAGTTGGATTAAGAATCGAAAGATGGAA